ATTTTCTTCCTTTTCACGCCGTTTTTCGGGGATTTCGGATTTTTTTTGAATTTTTTCGCAATAATATTCGGAAAATAGATAACTTTTAACACATTTTAAAGGAGGATTCCGGGCAAAATGACTTTGTGCTTAAATCGATGCAAAATATGGGCTTATTTCCGAAAATCACAATAAAAACGCTCAAAAAAATTTCCTGTAACCACAAAACGCCGTCAAACAGGCCGCCAGAATAAAAGTTATCCCTTAGGGACTAGTTTTTTTGAAAACTCGGCCACCGGCGCCGCCTCGTCCACGCCCTCCGCGGCCATCGATTTTATTGACATTTTTCAATGAATTTTGGTCGTTTTTCATGTTTTTTTCCAATATTGATGATATTTATTGAGAAAAAATCATAAAAAATGAACCGGAAAAGATAATTATACCAGATTTCAGCAATAATAGCGTTAGAAACAAACGGAAAATAACAAAACACTGGGAAAAAGAGAAGAGAGAAAGAAAGAGAGAACTGGGAGCTTCAGATCATGTCATCGTCAGACGAAGAATAGTTATTAGGAGAAGAATAATCATCAGTCATGTGATTTGGGTCGGGAGAAACCGATAGGGGAACGTTATGAGTAGAGGCCTGGGTTTGGTGGGATCTAACCCCTTCTAGAACAACTCGACGCCAAGAATGAGATCCCGACGACTTCCTTTTTTTGAAAACTGCTTCCTTGTTTGATTTGTTGTAGAATGCTTTTAGCCCAGTATAGTGTCTCTCATTGTTATACCATTCTATTTTGAGAGAGTTCCAGTGAAGTACGGTCAACTGAACGCGGAGAGGGAAGTTTTTGTGGCTAGAATATTATTATTCAAATTTTCTAGCTCTGTAGGACTCACAAGTAATAGCTTTTTGGGTGATAAATAGTGGACAACGAATAGAAACTTTCTACTTCAGAGGTATTGAAGTGAGGTGATACTTTTTCTAGATCTTTCAGTCGTTTGTCACTAACAATCATATTCCACAACAGTCGCAACGCCTTCTCATGCTTTGGATTGTTCACGTCAATGTAGTCGTTTCTGGTGTGGTTCATTGGGTCGTGCTCACATTTCCGGAACTTTGTAAACACAAATCTGTTAATTTGCTGTAATTGTAGTTCTCAAAGCGTGTTTCCCTACTTATTCTTACTGTAAAATTTTCGTGCATGTTTTGACAATGACAGAAAAACGAAATGAATTTCTCTACAGTCAATTTACCATCTCCCCCCGAGGTTGCAAAAGAATGGTGAAGATGATTTGTGGGTGGGCGAATCCAATTTTTGACTGGCTGCATTTGAACTTGATTTTTCTTCTAAAAACGTACAAAGTTTTCGCACTACTGCGAAATTAGTTCTCCTAGGAATTCCCGAAAACCTCACTTTCCAGATGATTTTCTTGACATTTCTCACAAAGTGCCAACCATCGTAAAACTGCCGGATTCCGGGGTACTTTGTGTTGAGCAACTTTCCGACTGCCGGATCACGGTCGGTGGTGATAGAATCAATATGAACCAGTTCAGAACCATCTGGGGCTGTGAGAGAGCTCATTAGATTCGAGAGTGCCAAATCCAAAGATTTGGGCTCCAGACTCTTCGACGACTCTGATAAAACAAACATAAACAAGAGAAACCCGAAACACTAAATTGCCTGTTCTCGATGACTTCTTCAACAGTTTTGTCTCCAGTACAAAATTCGTAGACACGTCCAACAACGCATATCGAGAATGTTCTGCCATATGGCCGGGCGAATCAAATTGTGCGTCACCAGCCAAGTCCAGTCCCTTCTGATTATCCTCACAGTTTTTGATCACAAAGTCCATCACTTTCTTCTGAGTACCATCATGAACGTTTTGGACTACAGGTCGGACGTGATGCTGCACAATGTCATAGTAACAATATTTACGTAAATAAGGTGCACGGACAGTGTGGAGCATTGAAGCTATTTTCTGAAATCTACTAATTCTAAGCCTTTCTCAGCTTTAGATAACAGACTGAATACGAGGATCCGGTGGAAACCGCTGCGCTAACAAGATCTCGATTTACAACATATTCCTTTGATCCTTCGATAATTCTTGATGAAGACCATTTCCAATCATGATTGCAAGATAGACAGTTGAAAGAGATCTAGCAAAAATTGTTTTCTAATAGACAGCTCACGACTCACAGAGACTGCATATCCGGATGGCTTCACAACAGCCGCTTCTACAGCTTCAGAGTGACATTGACGACAATATTTGAGACTGTCAATCAAACAATTCAAATCAACAAATGCATACTCTAAATTGCCACTTGTCTCGTCCTCTTCCACCTCACTGTCATCAGACCAAGATTCCTCCCTTTCCGGCACAAAACTACTGTCAGTTTCCTGTTCACCATAACTCTCCTCCGAATCTTCTCCATCTTCCTCCCCATCAGTGTTCAAAAGTACAAACGATTCCTCGTTATCAGCAACTCTTGAATCTTCAATTATCTCGAAACCGTTATCACCTTCGGAGAAATCTAAATTAGATGTATCAGCAACATCACCATCAGCAGCGAGTCTAGGAAGCGAATATACAGATCTTCTTCCATGAACTTCTCCGGATGGGAAGTGAAAACGACAAATGTAGGCTCGTCGAGTTCCGACTTTCTCCAATTGATTCCTGAATCCTTCTCCCAACGCCTCAATCCACTTTTCTCTTCCTGTTTTGCTCGAAGTGATAACAGTCGACTCCTTCCACGGAACCATAGCCCAACAGAACTGACAGCGACGTCTTTTTCCTTCCGACATTTTAATTACTACAATTTTTCAGATGAATTCTCTCTAATTCTCATATTCAGACTCTTCGGTTCTCACCAGCTATCATAATTTTATTATATTTGTACACTTCAAATGAATACAGCTTTGAAAAATGATTTATTTTGAAGCAGATAACGAATATGAGAAAAAAAATAACAAGAACAAACCACACATCAGCCATTATTGCTGAAATCTGGTATAATTATCTTTTCCGGTTCATTTTTTATGATTTTTTCTCAATAAATATCATCAATATTCGAAAAAAACATGAAAAACGACCAAAATTCATTGAAAAATGTCAATAAAATCGATGGCCGCGGAGGGCGTGGACGAGGCGGCGCCGGTGGCCGAGTTTTCAAAAAAACTAGTCCCTAAGGGATAACTTTTATTCTGACGGCCTGTTTGGCGGCGTTTTGTGGTTACAGGAAATTTTTTTGAGCGTTTTTATTGTGATTTTCGGAAATAAGCCCATATTTTGCATCGATTTAAGCACAAAGTCATTTTGCCCGGAATCCTCCTTTAATGCAATAATACTTTTTGGTCGGAGTCCCCCTTTAAAAACGTTTTAGGAATGAAAATTTTTTAGATTGAAAAAAGGCAATTTCCTAGAATTCCACATAGGTATCAGTTTTAGACCAAAATATCAAGAAAACAATAAAAAAAATTCCGTAAATCGACAAGGAATTCCCGTAAATCGACAATCGCCTAGAAATCCGTGGCCGTGGCCGAGGGGGGAGAAATTCAATTTCTCGGAATTTCTCCGCATTTTCTCGCTCTTCATGCATTGGTTTAATTGCCCGCGGTATGTCCGGGGTAGCAGGTTCCTGTGATAAAATAGAAGAACAACAACGAGAAATGTAACAAAATCGGTTTATTATGAACAAGTTAGAAAGAAACAACAAATAAAACCTTAGAATTTAAGCAAACTCACTTGAAATCCTTAAAAGAGTCTCTCGAAACCTACGAGCCAAATCCAAGCTCGCAATCACTCAAAACTAAATTCAAATTGTGCGCGCGCCGAGCGGGATAGCGGAGTGTCGTTGCGTGGTTAGAGGGAACCTTTACAAGGAGTTGGAGGGTAGATGCACCAGGCAACTGTTTAAAAAACACAAAAAATACATTTTTTATCTCATGAATAACCCCAATCGGAATTAACAGAATAATGCGGCTGCTTTTTCTGGAATTTAGAAATAATAGACATCGAAAATGAATGCCTTGGATTTCTGGGAGAAGTTCATTGCGATGGTTCCCAAAATCTCCAAATCGTATGTATCTGCTAACGATAATTTCCTCTCTTTATTCATATCCGACTGAGCAATGAAGAGTGCCAAGTAGCGCTTGGCAGTTGGAAGCAGAAATCGATCGGCGAGTTCCAGAAGATTCTCGCATTTTCCGAGTGAAAATATGAAAATTTTAGTTGTTCTTTAGTATTTTGATTACTTTCTAGTGGTAATGCTTCTGGCATAATAATGCTGATCAATGTTTCGAAATCTTCAAGTTTCACATCCTTAATTTCAAATTCCGCCACTGATTTTTCCTTGATTTCCGAGTTGAACAGAGTGTTGAAGTAGTCGGAATGGAAGGAGAGAAACTAAATAAATTTAACTTGTTTTCAAAATTTTCAAATTCCCGCCTAACCACTTACCGCCTTATTGACATGTAATTTCTTTCCCTCAACCACCAGAACGGGGGTACGACGAATTCGAACGCTTCCAAAATCGAAAATGTGTCAAAACAGAACAAGAGCAGAATCGAACTGCGCGAAATTCGAACTGTGTCGGAGTCGAACTGTCCCTAATTGGAACGCTGTTAGCCATGGGGCGCGCTTGCATTTTTCCTTAAATTAGTGACTTTTTTCTTGAGAAAACTAAAAAATATATACGAATCAGTTTTATTGGAAACAAAAACAACAAAAATATTTTTTTTTTGAAGGAAAAAATAAAAATTTGCGGGGAAAAAATGAGAAAACAAAAATAATGCAAGCGCGCCCCATGGCTAACAGCGTTCCAATTAGGGACAGTTCGAATTTCGCGCAGTTCGATTCTGCTCTTGTTCTGTTTTGACACATGTTCGATCCCCCCCCCCCAGAACTGCATCAGTTACGCTGACTAATTTCGACTTTTTTGCATTGGCTCGTCCAGGGGGGCGCGGTTGCACTCGCTTTCAAATTTCACCGTTTTTTGCAGCCAATTTTCCTCTTTCTCTTTATCTCTGTCAATTTGTCAATTTTTTTCAGAAATTTTCAGAAAAATTCAAAAAATTTTTAAATCTATTTTTTCCGGATTTTTTCGCAATTTTCGATGAATCGAAGAATCTCCGAATAGCAAATATTGCATATTTTTTGGATTTTTTCTCCTTTTCAATCAAAAATTTCAAGTTTTCAAATGCATGGCTACCAAACTTTATGAACATTATGAAAAGCCTAATATTATTGTTTCTCTACGTTTAAAATTCATTTTAGCACATTTTAAAATTTTTCGAAAAAATTGGAAAAAATGCCAAAGGGGGTACCCCATGGCAATTTTTTTCGGGAAATTTTTTTTCGAGAAATGAGGAAACTTTGTCAGATTGTAGAAAAATATTCAAAAATACGATTTACACTCAAGAAATGCCGAAAAACTTTTATTAGCCCCTTCAAAAATTACGCTCCAAAAGTGAGAAATTAGTAGTGAAATCACTTCCCAGAGCTTATAACTTTTTTCACAGGGCCGGGGTGGAAAAAATGACTTCAGTTCTATAATCAGCGTGTCTGAGAGTACCAATGCACAGCCCCCCGAACGGTGATTGCGCCAAGCTTGCCGCTTTCAAATAGTGCGGCGGAGCGCACTTGTGTTTTCAGTTGATTTTCGGAGCCAATTTTTTAAAAGAGCTCTTATTTCGTTCAAAATGAATTTTATTCGATGGGAATACCTACGAATTGTAGAAAAACAATTAAAATTGTAGATTTTTGCCGATTCTTCGTTTAAAATAGTGTCATCTCTCTGAATTCGTCCCTTTTCTCAACTAGTTATTTTTATTCATTCATATTTGAGTTGTTTCCTCCGTTCCGCTCCGTTTTTCTTCGCTTTTTCAGGTATTTCTTTGTTGAAACCACGAATTAATCAACTTTTTCCTAGAAATTAATAGTAATAGTTCAGAAATGGGAAATTCCGCTAAGAAAAAATCGGTCAAAAGCAGATTGGCCCGGCAAGCCAACGGCCGGTTGGCCCAGATCAAAAGAGCAGAAAAATTAGAGAGAAGAAACTTGGAAATATCCGTCGAAATAGAAGACAAAAAAAATTTTATCCAAGATATAATTGTTTCTATGGCTTTGATATCGATAGATCTTTCTGAATTCCGCGAGAACTTAGACAAAAAGAATGTTGAGATGGATTCTGTTTTGAAATCGCTAGATGAGAAAGAAATGGAAATAAAACTGGCTGAAAGTGAACTTCGACGGTTGAAAGATCAGCGGCTGTATATGATAAACGAAAACAAAAGGCGAGAAAAACAGTTTCAGAAGAAAATCGAAATTGAGAAACGCGAAATTCAGAAGAGAAACGAAAGTGACAAGGTATTTTATTTTTAGAAAGTAACCTTGCTTCTCATAAGGCGATATTACAGTTAAAAGGCCAGTATTCTATGCCGTTTGATGTATTGAAAGATAGAAAGAGCAAAGTGAATCGATGCAAAGACGTCATCAAATATATCCAACAAGTCGTGTTATCAAATTCTGTTGAGCGATTTCTCAATTTTTTTTTCACCTTTCTGAACGATTCGGATGAATATCAATTTCGATATCAGCTCACTGACGAGGAAACATATTTTGCGAAGCTTCGTTTTCATCTCCCAGATTCATTTTTTAGATCCTTCCAGAAATTCTATTCTCAAATGACTTCTTTCACTTTATTCTCGTCTCGGCACGATATTTCAAAAATTCAAAAGGAACTGTCACTAAATCGTTACTATACTGTTGAATCAGATCAGATCAAAAGAAGGACCCTTTCTGGAGGATTGACAACAGTAAAACGTCCTCTTGTCTTTATCAATGCGTTATCAGAAGTTCTAACTATTCGATTATCTACTATGGCTCGACATTCTAAACTTGAATTCAATGAGTCAACCGGAGATGACATTTGCGTAGCATTAGGTGGAGATAAAGGCGGAGAAGAGACGAAGTTGTTCCTCATTTTTGAGAATATCCAAAAGCCAAATGATTCGCGGGGAATGTTGCTTCTAGGACTTTATACGGGCGATGACAATCACTCAAGTTTGATAAAAAATCTACAAACTGTGTTTTTTCAATTTAATGCTCTCGAAAAAATCACTTATCATGATGGAAGTAGAGAGGTAATTATCAAAGAATCGACACAAATTAATTGAATTTTGATATCATTCAGATCACAAAGATTGTGAGAAAAAAAGTCGTGGGAGATGTTAAATTTTTGTTATCAATTTATGAACATCCCGGTCCACAATCCTTGACTCCCTGCCCAAAATGTGAAGTGAGATACAGTACTCATGGTGCACGAATGGCGACATTAGAATCGTTTTCTTTCGAAAATTCGGCGAAAAAAAGAACGGTAGACAGTTATAAGTCAACTGGAAACCCTCTGGTAGATGTTGATCCGGCAGATGCTGTAATTCCACCGATGCACGTGGTGCAAGGTCTTCTACAAAAGTACGGAATTGATTTTTTTTTGTATGCCACGCCAATATCCTTGATTCTGGTGAAGACGATTCCCATTGAAGATAGGTGAACAGAAAAAGAGACTGAAAGATTTGGAATTCGAAGAAACTATGTACTTGAGAAGAATCGAAAGTTCCACTAAAGAGATTCACGATATTCGTGATATCAAAAACGCCTACATCGAAACTCTTGCCAATGACAACAAGAAGAAGAAGAAGAATTCGTGTGATTCCACATTTTGCGTTGTGACGCATTCCAAAAATCGAGATATCGATAAAGCGACGTACCAATGTGACAGATGTTCGAAAATTTTCCACTTCCTCTGTAATGGAGTATGGACTTTTGATGAGAAAAGTAAAACCAGCCAGGCTGGAAACAATGTCGCATGCTTCGAATGTTCTTATCCTCTTTCGATTGAAGAGCGATTGGAAGAGCTTGAAATCTCGAAGGCGAAGCTAGAAAAATCTTTGGATGATGATCAGGAGACGTGGTGGCAAGTTAGTGAAGAGAGGAGAAAAGCTGAAAAAGTGATAAATGATTGTGGAGATTCAGGAGAATATCGAAAAAAGTTGGACAGTTTTTTCAAAAAGATCGCATGTGAAAACTACAACTGCTCCAAAAACTGGACCGGAAATATGAGCCGACGATTCCTGCGAAAATCCCACATCGATCAAGCAATTGATATCTTTCCTTTTTCTCAGAAACTAGAAGCAATCAGGAATTTCTTATATCAGTTGGAAGCGTTGATGACGTCGTCAAATAATGAAGTAAAAACGGACAAGCAAATTCCGAGATTGAGGAGAAACTTCACAATTTGGTGAAATATCTTCGTGAAGCTCATCCGGAACACTCAGTGAATGTCAAACTCCATCTTCTGACTTCACACTTGCTTGATTTCGTCAAAAAGCACCGTTCGTGGGGCAGAGTCTCAGAACAGGGTATTGAGCATGCTCATTCCGACTTCAAAAAGCTTAATATTCTTCTTGCTCCGATGAAAAATCCGATTTCCAAAGGATATGCCTTTCTCGATGCGTGTACCGGTGCAAATTTCTTGACTGATACCGGTGAAGACTGTAATACTTGATTTTTTACGAGTTTTTATAATAAATCTTGCAAAAAAGTATCAAATTCGAATCAGTTTTGTCGTATTTTGTTTAAACTCGTTATTCGATCCTCGAAATACCTGAAAAAGCGAAGAAAAACGGAGCGGAACGGAAGAAACGACTCAAATATCAATGAGTAAAATAACTAGTTGAGAAAAGGGACGAATTCAGAGAGATGACACTATTTTAAACGAAGAATCGGCAAAAATCTACAATTTTAATTGTTTTTCTACAATTCGTAGGTATTCCCATCGAATAAAATTCATTTTGAACGAAATAAGAGCTCTTTTAAAAAATTGGCTCCGAAAATCAACTGAAAACACAAGTGCGCTCCGCCGCACTATTTGAAAGCGGCAAGCTTGGCGCAATCACCGTTCGGGGGGCTGTGCAATGACCGAAGTTTGAGCAAATTCTCAAACTGTGCCTGAAACACACAAAATCGGAATTTTTGCGAAAAAAATCCGGAAAAAATAGATTTTAACGTTTTTTGAATTTTTCTGAAAATTTCTGAAAAAAATTGACTGAAAATGATTGCAAATTGACAGAGATAAAGAGAAAGAGGAAAATTGGCTGCAAAAAACGGTGAAATTTGAAAGCGGGTGCAACCGCGCCCCCCTGGACGAGCCAATGCAGCCGTCGAAATTAGTCAGCGTAACTGATGCAGTTCTGGGGGGGGGATCGAACATGTGTCAAAACAGAACAAGAGCAGAATCGAACTGCGCGAAATTCGAACTGTCCCTAATTGGAACGCTGTTAGCCATGGGGCGCGCTTGCATTATTTTTGTTTTCTCATTTTTTCCCCGCAAATTTTTATTTTTTCCTTCAAAAAAAAAATATTTTTGTTGTTTT